GCCCGCGGAGCGAGGATGCGGGTCAGCTGAGTCGGCACTTCGCCCACCTCCTCCACGGCCGTGAACGGTTTAGGGTTTTAGGGTTTAGGGTTTAGGACCCTAAACCCTAAACCCTAAACCCGATGTCCTGGGCGTGGGATCACGCAGATCACGCGGACGGCCCGGACCTCGATGCCCTGTCTCGCGCTCCTTCGTGCGTTTCATTCGATCTAGTCGGGGGTGGGGTTTTAGGGATTGGAAGTTTAGGGTTTAGGGCTTAGGGTTGAGGCTTGAGGAGTTGAGGTTTCGGGGGGTTAAGGGGTTCAGGGGGTTTATGGTTTGGGTTGAGAGTCTGGGGGGGTAGGGCTTTAGGGGGTTCAGACACAACACATCGGCCGCATTTGGTGCAAGTTTCGACACGAAAGTTAGCAAATCATGTAGCTGTAGCTGTAGAATCTGTATGCAGCAAAGGTTTGAGCAATAGTTCGTTGTCCGAGCAGCAACTGACATTGCAGCTTGATTGCGAAGCCACTGTTGAGCGCCATGATTTCATTCGAAGCCAATTTAAGCTTCGTTGCCTCACATTGCTGGCTCAAACGTGATTCACACTTAGAGTTGAAGCTGACATCGGGTATCGTAGCATTCCATCCAAAGTCTTGAGGCATTCAAAATCAGCTGTTCCAGCAACATGAACGAAAGTGCACCGCCTGTGCTTCAAGGAGGCAAGGAGAATTCTGGGTTTTCATGGCTGGCATGCCTAGGACTTCATTGAAGAGTCTTCTGCTGACCGCTGGCACGTGCAGGTGGCATCCTCGGCCGGTTTGAGAATGTCCGCGTGAAAAAGAGCGCCAAGAAGACCGTCACGTGTGATGCCGGCAACCAAGTGTCGAAGAGGGTTTGCAGACAAAACCGTCCAGGTCTTGTGGTTCATCATGACACTGATGAGGATATCTGCGGCCAGAAATGGGTTCCTCTCGCCGTGTAGAGATTCAGAAGTTCAAAAGCGCTTGAAGGTTTTGGCTCGTCAGGCAACACTTTCTTGGGGTATACAGCTAAGCTCAAGTCATTGGCACGAAGGATTCGTTTGCGCTTGCCCTTTTGGGCCTCGTTGCTTCATCATTAGGCTTGTTTCGCTGGTCGCTCTTGATGAGGCTGCGACCCCGGAATACTTGCGGCACGATTTCCTGAAGCCACAGCTGTTACCTCAGTCACTGCCTAGACCTGAATGGAATTCGGTGCAAGAGCGGGTGTGGCTGCAAGACGAAAAGCCACATTGCAAAGAGTCTTTCAGGATTTCTCTGCTTTTGAGGCACCTGCCAATCGAGCGAGTTGATGAAGAAGCCAACTTCATTGCCACCAGTAACATTAACGAGACTCGTTTCCACAAGGTGGGACCTCACCTCGTTTGATTGTGTAAACTTTGGGGCAGTCCAGCTCATGCAGGGTTTCCATCGCCGCCACCAGCCGCGAGCTCAGTCGAAAGAGATCGTGAGAACTTGCGGTTTCGAAGCTTGTTAAGTCTGAGGGCCGACATTCAGCAGGATGCTGCTCGACTTGAGCACGAAGCGGCCAAGCCGGCCTGAGTTTAAAGCATTGACGCGCTCGGAGCTGGAGCGTTCAGAACCTGCTTTCACAGGCCAGAGACTGGGCTCGTCAGGAGCTTGAGCCTGTGGCGTGACAGACCAGCCTCGTGATGGGTCGGGAGCCTTCGCAGGAGCGGGCAGCTGCACAGGCTTCAGCAGCACATCACCTGCGGGACAAGCAGCTGGGCGGCGAAAGTGTAGCGGTTCTACCAGGACTCGCCTCGCGGCCTCGCGTCTCGCCTGCAAAGGTGCACCTTCAACATCCTTACGGGCGAAGGGGTGGGCAGAGAGTGCGAGTGTGGGCCTGAGCTCTGGTCTCCTGACCCCAATCCCTTTAGCGGAGCTTTTGTTTGAGGTTTCGACACGTTGGGAAGAAGATTCTGAACCCGTACGGCAGCATGCAGGCGCAGAGAGTCAATGCTGCTGTGTTTCAGAAAAGAAAGGCTTGCCGTCTTTGCCTTTCGGCGTGGAGGGGACCGCGGCTTGCGGCTTTGCATGCGGCTTTGCAGTCGGTAGTATTGAGACCTTTGCTTCTCTTCGCAGGCCACCTTTTCGGAGCACGACAGGGAAGAGCGACACCGTGTCAAGAATTCCAAGCACCGCTTCTTCGAGCATCCTGCTCCGGAGAAACAGGCCCTTTCTGACCTTTCTCTCGTCTTGGAACTTGGAACCCAGTATGTTCCAGTGTAATCATGACAGGTACGAGCAGCCAACCTCTTCACTGAGGGGCTTCAAGGTACGGTTCGAGAATCTGCGGTTCTGGGCTACGGCAGGCGGGGCCTGGCTCAGTTCGGGGGTCTTCCGTTGGTATCTCGTGTCGAGGAGTGGTGTTTCCCGAACCCGGGCTCGTTCGTGGCTGTCTCAGGACTTTCCAGCTCTGCGTGAGCAGCTTCGTACACATTTGCTAAGGTGTGGCGTTGCCGACAATTTCGCTCACCTTCAAGCTCTTCCACCGGAGCCGGAGTACGTCGGGCGCCTGAATACCACTCGCTCTTGCAAGATCTTGCAAGCCTGGACGCGTAGAATTCTGCAGGAGGCACCACACAATGGAAATGCGTGAGGGCCCTGGCTCCGGCTGTTCAAAAGCAGAGCAAAAACAGAGTGCTGGACTTGCTGGGACGTTCTTCAGCATCCGACTCGCTCAACTTGCTCTCGGTAGCTGCAGAGCCTTTGAGGAGTCAGATTATCTTGGGTTGACTTGGAGCACCTGGAGCACAGCGAAAGTTTCACCAGGTGGGAAGCGGGAGGATCATCCTTGCCTTCGTTTGCAGCGTTCCCTTTAAGCACAAAGTCGCGTGGAGTAGCATTCAGTTGGAAGGTCGCAGCTCCGGCGCAGGAAATGTAGCGCCTGGCATCGTATTGACTTACTTGACCTGATCTGCATGTGCCGAAGGCGCAGCTGCATGACACGAGTCTGAATCCAGAAAATCCTGCATGCTCCAGGTTGCTGTGTTGAAGCGGAGTCTGCCTGAACGCTGATCAGACTGATGCTAATGCGCGCGTGGCGTTTGATCAAAGGTACAGGTAGACAAGCATGCTGACAACGTGTCTCCTTGGCCAGAAATGGTGAAAAAGCAGTTCTTTCATAGGAAATTTGGAGGCCGAAGGCTCTTGTGTTGCAGAGTATCAACGCTGTCTGCGCCATGGTGGACCGCATGCCAGTAGAGGAGGGTTGGGTGTACGGCCAAAAACCGAAAGAACCGGAGGCAAGGAGCGCGTGTTTGTTTTGGGGGCAAAGTGTCGTGATTTTGAACGAGTTCAGGCGCCACCGGATCTCGAAAGTCTTTTTGAAGCGGCTGGGGTGTCGCCGGCACTTTTCGCTCTCCTTGCCATTCTTGCATTTAGATCATGCAGCAACTGCCCACAGGTACCAGACAAGCTTACAAACGGGCAACCACCTTTTTCTCCTGAATGGTATGCAGGGGCGAAAGAGAGGCCAGCGCATGTCCTTCAGCGGCTGAGAATGAAAACTCAATGAAGTGCGTCAAGCTCCGGAAAGCTGGCAGGCAGAGAGTCCGCGATGCGGAGATCGAGAAGATCATGAGCCAGCGCAATGATGTCCGTCACCAATGGGCAGAGTTGGTGCCCCTGGCCTGTCGCCTCGCACAGTTATGATTCTCCAGCTTGTGCTTTCGTGCATGTCCTAGCCAACCGAGATGGAGCGGTGCTCGGTGTGGAGCGAACCGTCTTGCGACTGACATGTGCCAGATGTGGACCGACCTGTCAGTGTGGCGGGACCGAATCGACTACACAGGCAGAAAAGACTGGTGATGGAGACGTGTGAAATCTGAGCCGCTCGACCTTCCTCCTGCCTGGCAGCTTCTCTCGCGGAACCACTGGCAGACCTTCAAGCACTGCTTGCACGAACAAAGCATGAGCGGCCAGGCAAGCTGTGAGCACCTTTGATCGGTTCGCTTCGTGCATCCCTGCAGACGATGTTGCCCGTTTCCAAGAGATCCAGGAGATCGCCGCGAAGGCGCCCAAAACGAAAGCAGAGCGAGAGAGAGAGCCTAACAGCCGCTGTGCCTCCAGGCCGGCATCCGCCAGGGTCAGGTCAGGAAGCACCTCGTCGAGGCCAAGGAGCAGATGATGGATATCGAGGCCTCAGACCATGCCGTCCCAACCTTCTCTCTCTCTTTTCGGCGGCTGTGACCTCTTCTTTTTTTTTTTGGCAGGGCAAGGTCCGCTTGAAGGAGGAGGAAGATGAGGCCGCCGAAAAGGCCCGCATACCTACGCAGCATCGCGCAGCCTGAGGGCTTGTGCCCTACAGTAGCGTTTAAGTGCCCGAGGATCGCCTCGAAAAGAAGCGTCTGGCAGAAAAGCGTCGTGGTCTTGGCAATGCAAGTCCTTTTGATTCTGCCTCCACATCTGGTGCACCACAGGCCGCCGTCGTGCCGAGAGAGCTTTGAAAAGAAACGAAGCTTTGCTGCGTGGTGAGGTCAGTGGCTGTGTGCCGCGTCGAGACTCGCTGGACTTGGTTGGGATAAGCCTCCTTGACAGGATCCTCCGCCACTAGTCGAAGACTCAGAAGAGGAAGGCTTTCAGCCTGAAGACGATCCCAAGGCAGAACCTGCTCAGATCTGCTCAGCTTGCTTGAGCCGTGAGTTACGCTTTGCCACTGGGTGTTGCTTGACGGACCGAGCAGGATCTGATGCAGGAGTTGTGCAGAGCTCAGTGACACTTCACGTGTTGCAGCGACGGCTACCACGCATTGTTTCCCTCCGATCACTTCGCGGCCAAGGATAGAAGCATCCCCCCAAGGTGGGAAGCTGACGATGTGGCTTGATAGCTGGCTTGTGTCTGGAATGTGCGCGATCAGATAATGCATGGAGACGTCGTAAGCGAAGGGGGTGGTTGGGTGCTGGACTAAACGCAATGGGTAAGGGACGGCAGCAACAGCTCGTTGTTGCCGAGAGGTCTTGTCGAGGGTGAGGGTGTGTTGGTCTTGATGCTATACATCACCAGCGATACTTGGGTCGGGCTTCGGGCTTCACAGTCCGTGACGAGCTAAGTTTCCGCGGAGGGCTTCCCAGACTTCTCCTTTTTCGTTTTCCATTTTCTCGCAAAATGCAATCGGTACGGGGCATAGTCCAGATGGCTTGTGCACGCAGCCAACACGCAGGGGTGAGGACGAGAAGCTCCAGAAGTGAGGATTCGCCTGCGGCCTTGCCCTTGGAAGACCCAGCAGGATGCGAAGGAATTCACGCCGCTCACTTGATGAGGCGACCTCGCTGGCAAATTCGCTTTCGCCTCCGCCTCTGTGCGGGGCTGAGACATTTACCAGTTGGAGATCGGTCCCAGGTCCCAGGTCCGAAGTCCGCGGTTTACCGAGGCAGAGAGGTGGTTTGGCTCGAGAGCTGCCCCCTCTGCACGATCCTCCGCTGCCTCCGTTGGAGTGAAGTGCCCCTGTAAGCGAGACGAATGGCATGCGAGAAGTCTTTCCCTGGCGCTTTTTGCTCCCAAATGGGATGAAAGGTCGCCGGCAGTTTCACCTTGCCACAGGGACCCTGTGTAAGACGTAGTTGGCTTTAGCCTGTAGGAATCTGCTCGGCTGGCAGTGTGAACTTAATGAAAGTGTGCCACCAGCGGTCCGGCTCGTTTTCGCATCGGAGAATCTTCGGCACCATGTTCATCTGTAGAGGCTTGCAGCCATGGATGGCTCGAGATGCTTGTTCAATACAGCTCAGACCTTAGGTTATAATTTTGCATCTGCCGTTTCGCAACTGCTTCTACGTAGCTTGGACATCCGCACGTGAGCCAACCCCCCATCCAACCCNNCCCCCCCCCCCCCCCGCGCCCCCACAAGAGAGAACACTAAGCGACAAGCGCACGGCTTGATCCGTTGGCTAGAGGCGAGCGCAGGCCGATCACAGTGGAATCTGTGCTCTCGAATAGAGAGAAGCTCGCATAGCCACACGAGGTGATGGGACCAGTTGGGGCACCTGTACCCGGACCGACAAATGTTGTGGCTCTGGCATGTGAAGGAAGATACTTTAAGTTATCTTGTTATCGCAGGGGGCCAAGACAGGACGCAGCTGTCTCTAAATCGTGAAGGTTTGAAGAAAGGTTGCTTATATGATCTTATATGTACTTGACGAATTGTAGGGTGGTGGTTGCGAATTCAGATGCACACATGGGACAGAGAGTTTCAGAGAAGAGCTTATCATAGGGTCGGCCATGGAGAGATATGCGAGGAAGGGGTATAGTTGTTGGGATGGTTTCATTGTGGGCTTTCAATCTTCTCCACTTTGTGCATAATTTTGCATGTTACTCAAGGCTTGCAGCATGCCGACTAAACAACAGGCACATGATTACGTGTAAGGCCTGCCGCAAGGAAGCTCCAGCAAGCACACGGACTCAGATAAAGAATGCAAGCGACTGCTACATCACGCATCTTTTTCATTGCTGGAATGGAATGGGTTGCCACCCACAGCACGTTGACTCAAAGAAAATGATGATGATGTCATTCCTGGTGTGGCAGGTGTTTTTCAATATGCCAAGCACACGAGGACTGTGTAACGTGCCCAAGCCGATTGAAGCATCATCTGGTGTTCTTGTTTACACACGTGGTCGCCTGTGTGTGCATTTAGTTTTTGTGCAATACAGCGGTTAGCAGTATGGCGAGGGTCGGCCCGATGTTGTCAGCATCATCTACCTTGCATGACCGTTTGGGATAAATCCGATATATCTAATTTGTCGCGATGTGGGGTGGCTGTTCGAGACCGTCCTTATGGTGCCTGACAGCGAATGAACTTGATTGCTTTAGTATGTAGGATTTCGACTTTTTCTATCTTTTAGGGCTTCAGGTTTCAATGGCTCAGCCGTTTTCATTCTTTAGAGTTTTTAGGGTTGGAGGGTTTGGGGCTCCAGGGTGGCTTGAGGGTTCGGGAGTGTTTTGAGCTGATGGTATAGGGAGTTGGTTTGGCTTTGGGCTTGGGTTTAGGGTTGTTTAGGGTTGCGGCGCTTAAAAAACCCTTGGAGTATGTGGTCTAGGTTGCAAGGTGTAGGGCTTTCTCGTATTCGCAAGTGCAGGTTTGTTTTTTCAGGCACGAATGAATCCGCTGTCAAGTGCGCGACGGTTCCTGGGCACGAATCCGGTGCTTGCAAGAATCAGGTGCTTGCATGCACGTCTGCTTGCACATCCAATCGAAGAATTTTGGTGATTGGTTGCTCTCGATGAGATCTGCCTTGATAGAATGGCTAATCACGTTAATGGCTTGTTCTCTGTTGTTGGTGGTGGCATTGGCAGGTCATCCTCAACAAGATCCCGCCAGCGGTGACAGAGCAACAGGTCCGGTGCGACGGGGCGTCACGAGCACAGCAATTTCGTCCTTGCCATAGCCTGCTGCAAGATTGCGACCGGAGCCGGGCGACCGGATGAGGTTCTGCAGGTGCAAGACTTATCGTGGCACGTAGGTGCAAGTAGTGTTTGCTGGGGACCGGCACATGAAGTGCAGCTGCCAGGTGAGCTTCCGTCCCGCAGATCCAGAAGGACCTGGTTGGGCCATTCTCGCGTTTGCCACGCCCGAGATTGCCAAGGCTGTAAGTAGTTTGAACAGTATCGGTAGCCTTTGTCCCGGCATGTCTAGCCGCCATCAAAGTCGTGTGCTTGAGACGCTTGTTGCAGGGCGTCTCTGTGCAATGCTGCGGCTCGAAGTCCCAGTGCATGCTGGGGCGGAAGCACATCACGTGCAAGCATGCGACTGGTAATTTATGGCAGTGGCAGGGAGCAGCCCACATGATAATTGTTTTCAGAGAATGAAGAGGGAAGAGCCCCCAAAGTTGTAAACCATTAGGCATCCAAGCATTGCAGCACAGTAGACACGTGGCGCTTGAGCCGGCAGTGGCGGTCCAGCTGTGGCTTCGGCCGTGCACGCACCGTCGAAACACGCTTGTGGAAGGTGCCTTTAGTGTGACAAATGCAGGCAAGGAATAGCCAGTGTCAGATCCTGGTCCTGGATGTGGCAGGGGATGATTGTGGGTGTCGACAACGTGCTGCTGGACTTCTGCAGGGCTGGCCGGCTTGCCTTCAGTGGTGGTAGATAAGTTGCAGCCGAAGGATGTCGTGGTGTCCATAGACGACGAGCCCGACATCCTGAAGCGCTATCAGGTTCCCAAGCTGGAGGTCTCTGCGTCACGTGGCCTAGCAGAAGTCTTCTTGGCTTCTGAGGTCGAAGCGAACACACAATGCTTGGCGGAGGCTGTGCTTTTTTGCCTCTTGATTGTTTGTAAGGTTTTGTGGGAAATGTTGCAGGAGAGGCACATGCCGTTGGTGAAAGACATGCTGAGCAGAGCGGAGGCTGGCAAAGCCGGTGCCTCGATGGTCCGATACCTGCAGTTCTGAGAGTGGACAGTCGTCTTAGCATGTCTCAGGCCAGTACGACACCTGGCGGCGTGATCGCCAACAGTCTTCGAGCCGGTTCTTGGTGGTGCCGCGTAGAGCAGTTTCAGCCGGAACGAGCCAGTGGTCATGCGCCAAGTATGTTGCAATCAGGTTAAAGAGACCGGCAGATTGCCAGCAGCCACGAAGAATCATGTTGGGTGCAGAGCTCAGAGTGCATCTGTTTGGCCGGGTCCATGCGTGCGGAGTTCAGCTCTTCAGAGTCTGAGGGATGGTTGGGCACGATGCTGCCGGAGACAGGCTTACCTGGGCCTGGGCACTTTGAGTCCGGTGGTGATCATTCCACAATCCAGAGGCTGCAGACAGAGCTCTCAGCGGCTGGAGTTGAGCCAATGCTGGGCCGACCTGCAAGGTCTGCCGGCCTGCGTCGCAGAGATGAATCCAGCAGATTGCATGGCAGCTGCTAGGAAAGAGGAGCCCAACGACAACCTCACCAACACCAGCGGCATTTCTCCGAGAACATTTTTTGGTGAAGTTTCGTCCTGATGCTCACAGACGGACCACCTATCTGTGATCAAGGCGTGTGTTGCTGCCTATTGGCAAACAAGGCGGCCGCGGAGCCTTGCAGCTTTGCACCCTTTCTTTGCATCGCTCTGGGCAAGTTCTCAGCACTCAAGACTCAAGAATAAATGTCGAGTGAGACCGAGCGCGAAGGCTCGCACGATGGTGACGCATCTTGGCATCAGCAAGACTCTCCATTTGGATGGTAAGCAGAGGCCTCAACTGATTCAAGCTTCACGCCTAGCCGAGCACATTCGAGCACCTAGGAAAGAAGGCTTTGCCGGATGGATCAGCCGGATGGAGATGCTGCAGGCAGTGCTACAGGACATATCTGGACCTGCGCAAAGCTCGAAGCCATGAAGAGGCATCTATCAAGACTACAGCACCGCAGGCATGGGCGGAGAGCTTGGACTCGACTTGCAGTACAAGCGCCCATGCACTGCACTTCCTCAGTGAGGTTGCAGTGACCTCTGGGCACGCCGGCGCACTTTTCCACGAGGAGGCACTGGACACACTGAGTCTGCGATGTCATGCCAGGTTTTATGCCCAAGCAGATCCTGAAGGAGCCCTGCGAGGACATATGATGCTCGTCCCGACTCGGCACATCGCAGGAGTGGATGCCATGCTGGCTTGGTGCTCCAAGCCACATGTTGCAGCCGCAGGCGGCGCCTGTCTCAGTGTGAAGCTGCCTTCAGCCAGCTTCCAGCTGCCGGGGCATGCCGGGGCCCCGCCGTACAAGGTCGAATTCTGCCTATCTTCGCGATCACTGTGGGTGCTGAGTGGTGCACGGACATCGCCTGTGTCCAGGAGCCCTTCAAAGCTCCAAAGACGGTCATGTCAATGTGTCAGTGCGATCGCGTCACTCTTGCCGGTTCAGGAGGCCGCTCGCTCGGCTGACTTCACTTTCGCCAACGAAGTCGAGGCTATACATCTGGCATCCTCCGTCTGCAAGGCAGGTCAGATAGATCCTCACCCGCTATAGACGTCGAGAGTCTTCCAAGGCAGCGTCCAAGCCCGCCCCTGAAACCTACGAGGATGCAATGGCAGCTGCGACCTCAAAGTTTAGGTGGTGATGTCACAAACACGGGCCTATCCGACTGCCAGCACCTGTATCTGTGAGTGTGCATCGTACAGTGGTGGGTGCATAGCTGCTTGCAAAGGTGATTGCGAGATGGAAGCAGCGAGGTTGGATGATCGGCACTCGCGGCTCGAAAGGTGTGGGCTGCATCCGGTCAAAGTCAGCACAGTCCTCAGCTGGATGCGTAACCGCTGCAACACGTTACCACATCTCAAGTTTGGCTTTTGGTAAGGACACCTCGCTCTTCCAAGTGCCAGTTCCACCAGTGTCCCCGGAGGCATGTCAGTGGTGTTCGCCGGTTGCAACTTTTCCACGGAGCTACGCATGCTTGAAAGGAGTTCGTCGACGATGTGGGCATTCAACTTGGTAGCCAGCAGGCCATGAGTCAAGCTTTTCAACTGTGTGGCGAGGTGCTGGGGATTCCTTCATGGGCGGCTTTCTTGAAGCCATCTGGCAGAGCCTGGCAGCACCTTGTCAGAAGTACGGAGAGCTGAGCATGACCTCTCTTCTTTCGTCCTATGACTAAGTTCTGCTTCGAGCCCATCGAATCAATGCATCCTGCGACCTCGCAGTTGCAATCAGGCACTTGCTCAAGAAGAAGCCGTCGATTCCTCTGAAAGTGCGGGTAAGCGAAAGCTTGAGGACGGACACAGTGGAGTGCAGAACAGCTTGAACCTCTTTTGCTGCTCTCTCCAGGATGTGCCCTTGGCCTCCAAGTTGACAGACGACCACATGAAGGTCTCGAAAACGCCTCGGGAACTGCTTCGGCTGTGGACAGAACCGGAAAGGACGCAGTGCGCGCCGGCATCACAGCAGCTGGTGCCTGCATCAGGCAAGGTGTGTCCGGCATGGTGGTCGATGGTAGCAGATGACGCGTTCAAGCTCGCAAGATCCCTGGAGGCGTTCTGGATGCCAGTTTGCTGGGTGAGATCTTTGTTGCTGGCTCATGGTCGCGAACATCGCAGCCTGAGCTAGATCTAGGTGGAGCAGAAGCCAGTGCAAAGTGCAGTGGCTGCAGTGGCTTGGAAACCCGTGGCCGGGACAACGGCCTTGCTTATTGTTTCAGACGGAAAAAGGTCTGTGTCGCAAGCAGTCCTGTGCTAACAAAGTTCTCTGCCCGAGTGGTCTGCATTCCGCATGTACCAGAAGCCTTATACTTTGTAGACCTGACAGTCGCATGCTGAAAGTTCGAGTCGCCGAGAGGCAGCACGTGACCGACTGGACGGCAAGCCCCTGGTAGGGACTTCAACCATCGTCGATGCTGCCTTTCGGAATGCAAGTCTTTCCTTCATGGTGTCACCCGGTGCCTTCCGCCGCCGCGCACTACTTGAAACCAGGCCCTCGGCGAGGGCTTGCTTGGCAAAGTTCGGAGCACCAACGATCAGGACAGCTTTGCAGCGGGGTAGCAGGTCCTTTCAGTATTCCGTCGTTCAAGTTGCAGGACAGCCCATGGAAGGAAGCCAGAACAAAGGAGGGTCAGGAGGGGCCTCTGTGGACGTGTGACGTTCGCAATGATATACAGCTGTCATGTAATGAGCTGGGCAGGTCTATTACTATCACGCAGTAACGCGGCAAACTCTGTGGATCAAGCCGCCCCCAGAGTTTCCTTCTGCGCCACGCTGAGCCGAAATTGCTGATGTGTTCTGCTCGTCCCGCTTACACGCGTGATCTTGTAACTGTAAGGCTGCGCAGATGATGGCAGGCTCCGTTCTTGAGACCTGTCATGTTCTATTTATATTGGTGTCCATGTGGTTGCCCGTACCGGTGCAGATGCTGTCTCCATATTTTTCCTCGGGCCTTGTTCGGCGTATCTGCGTCAATTATTTTTGGGCTATCCGCCTCATTTGCCCGCACTTTGCGTTTTTTCATGTTTCATAGTTTGGGTACGGGTCTCGGGGGTTGCATAAGGCCCCCAGCGACCATGCAGAACCTTCTTCATTTTAGGGGTATCGGAGTCCACCAACAAACCTCAACTCGGCGGCGGCGATTCTTGAATTTTTTTCCTGTTTTAACTGGACCATCTGGAATTCTCTCCGGGACGCTGGGAGGGAGGACGCGGACGGGCCGCGGAATGCGTTGCTCCGAGGAAGGATGCGGAAGCAACGAGTACGTAAGCCATTGACTGTTACATCATTCGGGCGAATGTGCTGGGGGTTACAATGGCTCCTCAATGCTACATGGTGCCTGTATTCATACAGTACCCAAGTTACATGGAATTCGACCTAAGATGTTCCTGCATAAAAGAAAGGAGCTGGCGTAATACGAAAGACGTCTTTTATCGCTGGGTGAGTCGAAAACTTATCAACATATCGAGGCGAGGAAGGCTGCGGAAGCATTGGCAGAAGGGTTGTGCGAGAGTTTCGCGCCCTAAAGATTGAAACAGAAGAACAAGCACCGCTCCATTGTGTGGTCTCTTCCAGTCTAATTCTAAACTCCAAACCTGGGAGCTGCTCAGGCTTGGAGTTGCAGGGTTTCGGGATTGGCAAGGGTCGATTGGAGGGTTTAAAACAGGGCCATCAGGGTTCCTGAGTTTGCGCTTGTAAGGGTTTGGGATTTTAGGGTTTGGGGTCCGTGGTCATGGTAAACCTTGGCAGCTCCCAGCGAAGCAAGGAGAAAGCACACAGGAAAGTAGGTAGCACTTTGCGCTGTACCCCGTAGCTTGCACGATGATCTGATATTGTTGGAAGTGACAGTTGGTGGCTTGTTCTGTTGATGTCAAAGCATTGACTTATCTGCTGCATGCCGTGCTTCCGTGTCTAAGAGCTCGAGGCTGGTGCACAGATCCGTGATGTCATGTCTCGCCTGTGTGACACTGGCTCCATACCACCACCCGGGGAAACTCAGCAAGCAAGCAGTGTTGGATGCAGCGGAACGGAGACGGGTTTCTTTAGATCTTCAGAGTTTTTTGTTATGTTGGATCGAATGGGTGGTGAAACACAGCCCGGTCTTGAAGGCAAAGCACACATGCATCGCACTGATTGCTTGTCCCCGCCCATTATCTAAGCAAGGCCGATGTTTCAGGCAGTATCATGTCAAGAAGTAGAGCATGTAACACATCCCGGAAAGCTGCTGCAAAACCAACAATACGACCTACAACAGGCAGACGAACTTGTTTCAATTTCCGTGTGACAGCTGACACCAGCGAAAGCATGGCTACTCGCGCGCCCTCCGCGAAAGACGGCCAGATCTCGCGTTTCTATTACACAATCGCCTGCATGATTGTGGGCCTCCCATCCAGATGAAGAATTGCGACGGAATCATTGATTAACAGATATTGACAGCACGAAAGTTGGTATCTGTCTTCCGACCGAGTGAGAAAGTCTGGCTTCAGCCGCACTGGTCAACATCCTCAGGCCGAGGTGCGCAGAGATCGGCAAATCCAGGAGTTCAGGCAAGTTCAATTTGGCGTGTAGTGTTCTTCGACAGCACCGTGCGACCATGGTGACCAGGCGCAAGCAGCTATTAGAGCAGCGCAAGATTCCGTTGCGGCAGCGCATGTCGACGACTCGTGAGCCGCCCTGATCTTCACACCTCGCACACACACGGAGCCGGGCCCAGGGAAGCAGTGAGCCTGCGGGCTCAACGACTTCTGGTCCTGTTGGCGCCAATCTTTTCGTGCGGCTCTCAGACTTCCCGCTTGGTCAGCTCAGATGTTGGATGGATGAGGTCTACCATATTCCAAACAGTTGGGATGACCGCCTGGCCCTCGGACGGGCAGAGGGAAAGAGCAGAGCACGTAACTCAAGCGACGGGTGCTGATGCACAGTGAGACAGCTTGTAATGCAGGATCCATGGCATGTAGACCTTGCGCCAGTGCAAACTGCTTGAAACAGCGAAGTTGCCGTGTTACGGTGATTGGCCGGGCTTCTGCTTACCAGTATAGAAGCTGGATTCGTCATTCCACCTGTTAGCAAGCTTTCTGCCAGACATCCTTCGCCAGCACTTCGAGCATTTCGGAAAGATTCTGAGTTGCAGGTGCGTCATCCACAGCTCAAAGCATGCATGTCTGCTAGCAAATGATCGGGCCGGTGCAGGGTGCAGAAGGACGACAGCGGCCGGCCACGCGGCTTCGGGTTTGTATCCTTCGATGCACCAGCATCGGCTCAGGCATCAGTCCAGCCCCACGAAGTCCTCCATGTTAGCTTTAAGCATCTGGGCTTCCGTTCAGGCTGCCATTGCTGGGATGCCATGGCCTTTGCGCACATTGAGTTCGTTCATGCAGTGTCACTGTTGCTCTATGCAACGTTGTGGTGAGGCATGGCTTTCCGGTGGAAGGCAAGTGGTTGAAGGCAGGCACTGTACTTAGGAGGAGCAGTAGCTTGCAACAAGTCCTTTTAACTTCTGTCCAGCCTTGCGGAAGCTGGCGGAGTTCCCAGCTGCTAGTTTAGGGCGACATAGTGCACTTATCGAACCCTTCATCTACAGGATCCTCGGCATCTGTATGAAGATGTCTTTCGGGCATTCCAAAGAGCTGCTGATGCATAGTCTGTCGATGATCTGACATAGGAAACCGATGCCAAATTTCAGTGGTGTCATTGCAAGACCCACCTGTGGCCTCCGAGTGGTGTTGCCCGATCCTTCAATCGCGGCGGCCAGGTGCAGCTAAAGAAGGGTGATGAGCAGCAGATCGAGCAGGCAACAGTGTATGATTGGCCCCACCTTTGCTTGCAGCACTGCCTGCCGGCAACTGACAAGCAGGCGAAGGAGCAAGTCGGGGGCATGCATGGCCCTGAGTCCGCAGTGAGAAGCAGCACAGCATCACAAGCAGAACCACGGAACGACCAACGCTTAGTTGCGTGTAAGAGCATGTGCAGGCCGGGCGTGACCACGCAGGTTCTCCCGCCAGTCGCTTCTCACCATGCGAACTGAAGAGACATTCACACAACCTTGGTGCAAGGGACTCAATCCGCCACCGGCTGCCCCTCCGGCTGCTCCTCTCGCCCCGCCGGCTGCTCCGTGCTTGACTAAGAGCTGGGAGAAGAGGGGATGTAGGGCGCGTCATCGCTTCCGAGCTCTCAGGCCCCCCGCACCCCCAGCGCCCCCTGCACCTCCAGCGCCTCCGGCGCCTCCGTCACAGGGTGACCGGCTCCGTGAGGTGCAGCGCGATGCAAAGGCGCATCATGGCGAAGAAGAGATTCCTTGTCGCCAGGCTCTGCTCGGAAAGCCCCCTCCGATGCCGATGGGCCTAGGTTTAGGCATTGACCTCAGAGCCTCAGCGTCAGCGGGGCCCTTGTCTGCGCGGGTCAGGTGATGCAAAAGGTGCAGATGGAAAAGGTTTTGGCAAGAAGGGATGCTTTGGTGGCAAGAGCTGCTGGGCAAAGCGTTTGGCTTTTGTAGACCTTTGTGTCGCATGAGCTTTTTGGGTTTGCTGTCAGCTGCTGCTCTGCTGCATGGGGACATGGCTTGAAGATGACTGAAGTGACATCGAAAATGGTACAACCTATCCAAATACGCGCCGCTTCGTGCAGCAAAGACTTTTTTGAGCTGAGGTGATGGACCGAAGGGATTTGGAGGAGATGGTGGAAAGGGCTTTGGATTTGATGGTGGTAAAGGCTTTGGATGCGGCTATGGCAACGACTTCGGCAAGGGCGGCAATGATTTCGGCAAGGGCGGCAATGATTTCGGCAAGGGCAGTGGCGCAGAGAAAGGCTTTGATGGATTTTCTAGCTTCGCGAAGAAGGGCGGCAAGGGCATGCGTCCAGGCCCGCATCTGCAAACAGACTACTTACTTTTCTGACTTCCGAGGCATTCAGGCAGACGCACCAGCACAACCGCCTCTCCTCCCTCTCCTCCCTCTCCTCCCTCTCCTCCCTCTCCACAAAGGGCCAGGGAGGTTTGAGGGGTGTTTGGGATGCCCGGTGTCCTGCGTCAAACTCGCCCTGTTGAGGTCCCTACTGACGGGCCTGAAGCCGCCACTAGAATGTTTCACCAAGGCCAGTGATTGCAGCTGCTACCTGAACAAGAGATCTCCCAACAGGTATGTGGCTTAACGCGGCAGGTATGAAGGCCTAATGCGACGCAGGGATTCGGAACAGCATGTGACAGGCATGTAGTAGCCATCGATCTGCGGAGCCTTCGCCGACTCGCCGGGAAAGCCTTTGCTCTCTGGAAGCTGGGTTTGGAAACATCCTGAGCCAATTCGCTTGTCAGAGCCGTTCTGGCTCACCATGCTTGATACCGAACCAAGATTGTGTCCGATATTGAATCCCCTCAGTGGGCAGCTTGGTTTTGCGAGAGGGGCAGCTTTGTTCCCTGACTCTGCAGTTACATCCTGCAGGCGGACATCTTTGATGGGAGGTGGCAGAGATGAGCAATCTGTCTATCCGTTCTACAAGGTCAACATCCATGAGGTCATCCCGACTATGTTCCTCAGAACTAGTTAGAGCATAGTGCAGAATGCGTGGGTTTGCAGGCGCGGGCGGCTGCACATATAGCACGGAGCTTGCCCTTCCTCGTCTTCGTGACAATTGCTCCTAGGATGTTGTTTGCAGTCTGCTTGGAGCATGTGTGCGGCCGACAACAGACCATCTCAGGTTGGTTTGCTGATTTTCGGCGTCTTCTGGTACCTCTGGCAAGTGCGTCTGCATCTGTATCCCTCCGGACAGTGCCTGAAGCCAACAACCACAACTGGACCGAATATGCATAGCTTGGAATGCCATGGCAGGAATGCAGTGTTACTTCTCACAGTCACGGCTACTCTAAACGTAGCAATGTGGCTGTGGGTCGTTTCCACTGCTGTCTTTTGCATGCTCGGCGTCGATGCCGCAGAGGACTGCTGTCGTTCTGTGTGGGCAAAGCAGAGAGTTCTCTCGTTGCGGAAGGAACAGCTTCGGAAGGCAGGGGCGGAAGCCAGCTCCGGCCCGTGTGAGGTGGAAAGCCAGGCCGATCAGTGTTCGACACGAAATGGGGCCGTGTGATATGCTGGCATTGCCTTCGAGAGTTGTGAGGATAATGTGCGACACACAATCGTTCTTCCAAACTACAAGGACTGGGTCGTGCTTCGTGTTTCTTGCACAGGGCTTTCTGTGGTGCTCAGGTTCCCCTGTCATTGACAGGAGGATGAAGGCATCCTGGAGACCACGCTAGAAAGCCTTTCTGAGGCTTCGGGCTTTCGCCTCAAGAATTGCATCATCTGTTGAGATTATTGAGATAAAGACTTGAGTTGTGACACATGCGGTTGCCAGGCACGTGGATCTGCACACTTTATCGTAGTGCTTGCCATGGAGGACTGCATGTTTCAATTGACCTAGCCCTAGCTAAGCGGCTAAGCCCATCCCAGAACTTGAGATCACCAGGCAGAAGGTTACACCATGTGCCCCAAGAAACCTAGCCTCCAAACCCAAACCCGAGAACCCTAAACCCAAACTCTAGACTCAATGCCCTTGGCCCAAGACCATCCTGAGCCACAGACCTCCAGAGCCAAAGCCTCAATGTGAAACCCTAGCGACCGTAAACTTAGACACCAAAATTTCTAGAGTCTGAGTCTGTCAGGACAGGGAAGCGGAGGGCCGGGACAAGGCTGCCAAGATGGAGGCCGATCTTGAGTGTTGTTTCCGGCATTTAAACGAGTTGCCTTGTTTTTTTTGGCAAAGGCCAAGTTCAAGGACAAGTTCTTCAAGATCTTTTCCACTCATCATCCCCAGACACTGAAGGACAGCCAGCAGTCTACCCTGCTTGTATGTGCCGGAATCCAAACCGTTTGTGTGTGGCCCAGGAGCGTCATCTGGATGGAACCGAGTGTCCAGAGTTGCCGGGCAAAGCTTCCAACGTCAAATGGGCTGTCACGCAGGCACAAGAGACGAAACAACCCCATTCCCTAAACCCCAAGACGCCGGCCTCGATCAACTCTGTTCCCTCTGCCCCTAAAGCAAGCATTGCTGCTGGAAGCAGGTCTGTAGGGAGAGCAAGATTTCCGACAGAGATGTGGCAGTCTCAGACTCTCAGAGGACTTCACATGGCTGCTGTAATCTTGCAATACAAACTATACGGCATGCTGGTTAGGTGGATTCTCTAATTGCGGAGGTTTTGGACATAAGTTGTTCCTTTCGATGTAGTCTGTTTCGAGTGTGTGGTTGCGCAAGCATGCATCTGCTTCGATCTGAGCAGCTTACTTTGATTGGGGTGGTTTGCTCGACGGTCGAATATCCACTCTGCGTCTATCCATTTATCTGAATCTACCTATGCAATCCATGCATCATGTATCCATGCAGCCATCCATCCATCTATCCATCCACCTATCTAGAGTATAATAGTATATAACAGTAGATTATGTCTGTGTGTGTGTCCAGTCCTGCAACCCAGTGCAAGATTGAGTGCACTCTGGGAGATCAAGCTCTGTAACGCCAGAGCCCCAGAAGAGCATACTTCTACTACCTTCAGACATTTTTCAGTGGGACTGAGACCACAAATCCATGCATTCACACATGATGCACAGATAATGGTGGCATAGGCTGGTTCACGTGCACATGTGCATGTCCATTGTAGTTAGCTACATGCAGAAGTATTGCGTTTGCGCGTAGAAACAAGCACACAATGTACACATGCACCTCGATGTTAGCAACGAGATGCAGATGGGCCTACAGATGCCTGATGCGCTTGCAGCCTCCTGGGCCACAATCAACACTCTTGCCAGCAGCTTCTAATGGATGACCATCTGCAAGCAGTTCTGCAAGCAGGTCCTCACTGTGTGCGATGCAGATGTCATCATGCATCCCCATTACTTCGAGCACATTAGCTCCGAGTTCGTGAAGTTGAAGGAGGACGGATCCCGGATGGCGTTGTGTTCGCTCCGAGCTAGCCAGGAGTTCAACCATCCTCAAGGAGCACACTAGGCGTCACAAGTCCGCAGTGGCACAGGACAAAAGCCACTTGCACACTATGTGGCAGGCATGGCTGAAGATTCTTCTGAGAATGACGGATTGTCAGTACAAAGCGCGCATGAGTCACATATGCACAGGCTCCGCAGCTGCCATGGCGAAACTTCTACGAGAGTCCGGTGCTGAGCATCCCGAGCAAGGCATTTGACAGAACTGTTGAACCTTTGCCAACTGTTTCCAGACTAAGGTCCTGTCGTTTCTCGCGTCTGGGGGTGTGCAGCCTAGCGAAGGTCTGACCACTTCACAGTAAGCACCTGTCGCCAGCACAGGTACATCAGCTCTCTGTGGGAGTTTGGGGGTGTCAGCAGTGTGATGTACGGATGGCATCACATGGCACTCCCGGCTGAGAAAACGGCCAGTTTCCGTTTGAAGGGCATGCAGGTAGATGCAGGTGATTGTCGACATGCCAGGTCTTCAGTGCGTACAGCTTGCCGCTTGAACTTGCAAGAGATGTTGAATGTTGGGATGGAGACGTTATCGCAGAGGAGACTTGAAGCATGCTTTCTTGCATTCTGAACAGTCTACAGTGTCTTCAGCACCGATGGTGGCAGGACCATCACGCTTTTCTCAAGGCTTGGTTCTACAGTGCGTACATCATGTCTCAGAAGAAGGAGGCGCATGTCAATTCGAGTTGGAGTGAATTGGCTTGCCCTTGGGACAGCTGCAGTGTCATGCTCTTAAACAGGAGGACGTCGTGCCCAGGCTGGTGCGGGTGAAGCCCGCCCCAACCTAAGAGGAGACGTCAGAACATGCCACCGGTCAAGCTATGTTTTTGGGAATGCCGAGGTCATGTTACCTGCCAAGTCGACATCCGTCAACTCGCCAGTGTCATACTGGAGCTCTTGGGAGGAACGATGGCAGCAGGCCTGGACGCCTCACCGCCCTGGCGCTCGAGGCGTTGTAAGTCGCTAGTGACCGCTAGCTGACACCAGGCCAAGCGGCACGCTCAAGGAGTCGCCGAGGTTTCCTACGACGTCCCCTCAGCCTCAGCGTGATGGTAAGATGACGGCCGGGCCGAGACTGCCGAGACTGCGTCTTGGCCTTTGAGGCCGCCTTGGCTGCCTGGGACATGCTCGGTTCTGTGCCTGTTGGCATCTGAGTATGGACACACCTAGCATGCTCGGCCCGAGATCGCCTGTGGAGCTCGAGGTTACCTCTTTCGGGATACAGTTCATGTGGATGCTTTTCAAAGTGGCCGCTGGCTGAGACGAACGATGTCTCACTGGGGCGCTCTGGCGGGCAGGGCTCGCACTTTCTCAGTCACAGTCGAGTCGGCGTGTTCCGTCAAGCCGTCAAGCCGGCTGCCATGATTAGTTGTCTCCACCGTCTTGTTTGGGCAACAGTTCGCTGAAGGTGTAGGACTGCTTTCTCAGGTCTTCAAGCCAGTGATGATGCATCTGGTGGCGACAACGCAAGCGATTGCATTGGCAGCCTGCCCGACGTACTTGCGAGTCATCTTACTGTGCAAGCACACGGGTCATCATGTTGCATGAGCTGCCAGGTGCTCACCATCTATTGGGTGACACATCACTACAAAGTGCCTTGGTGCACGGGCCTGACTATCAGACTGTCGGCTGACAGTGCCCTCCGCTCTCGCTCGACTTCTCTCTCTTTCTTTCTCTCTCTCTCTCTCTCTCGTGGTCTTGGTGCCAAAGGCCCCGAAAAGTTGGTTCTAACGGAGATGCTGTCGTCAGGCATGGGTCTTGCAGTCCGGGTGAGCTTGATCTGGTTTCGTCTGGAAGGTGATACTCTGCTGTGTGGATTAGCCGGGGCATGGGCGCGTGTCTGAGGTGCAGTTGTCGCATATCGAATCACTTCGGCACGAAGTTGAGGTGCTTACTTGGCCGATTGTGATTCCCTTTGGCTTGCTGATGGTGCCACAAGCCTGGATTGCACCAGCATCATTGGTACAATTTGCAACCCGTGACACAGCCAGGTCGCCAACTACATGATGCTTCGGAAGTGTTTCATATCGCCTGGTGAGCAGGTTTGTCCTGAAACTTTGAGTGTGAGCGACAGAACAAGTTAATGTAGGCCTGCATGCGTGCATGATGTCGGCATGGCGCGACTGAGTGAGTGGATTGATTCGGTGCGTGGCTGTTATCCTGAAGCAAGCTGACCGGATTGCCTCGGCTTGAGGACAAGAAGCTGACGTGGCACAAGGAGGATGGCGGCGTAGTCCCCTTTGACAGCTTGGGTCCTTGAAGCGTTTGCTTTTGCTGGAAAGCTACAAGGAAGCCCAACCCCGTTCATGTCTAGCTTTGCTGAAGGCTGGTGGCTTGGACCTCTCCGAGGCATGGTTTGCCACGCGGCTGTTTCCTCGGCGGCGGCGGTTTCTTCCTGGGCCTCGTTGCGTTGCAGGTTCGAAGTCCTTTACGATGATGATAACGCTGATGTTCGACTGCATCGTTTGTCTTGGACCAATCATGGCCCCGTCGCTTACATCATTCGCAGCGTGCATTTTTGTCCATGTGCACAAGTAGGCTAAAGCTCGCCACGTGTTAGGCCTTCTACGGAGTCCTCGTCGAGATTCTCGCGTACTGGAACGTTTTCGTCAGGGGTAATAACTTCAAGTGCCCCGGAGCAGCCTGTAGCATAAGTGCACAGGCCCAGAGACGCATGAAAAGCACATCGGCACCCACTTCTGCCAGGTATGTCACTGCAAGCAAATCGATGGATCGCAAGTCTGCGTACGGAGCTGTCGAGAGTGCCAAGGCCTGCCTGGATCAAGCTTGCTCTCTGCTCTCCCCTTCCCTGCCCACCCTGTTCTTTTTTCAAGGGTGAAAGCTTGCGCATCTTCCCATATATTCCCTTCGTGTTTCGTTTCAACAGGGCGGTCCAGCAAGACTGACGTCATGACTATGCGTTCACCAGGCGCCGCCGGCCCTGGGCAACGAGTATGCAGAGGAGTCCACAGAAGCTGAGCCTGAGCCGACAACCAAGGAAGACAAATCGCACTCCTAGCCGGGCTCTTTTGTCCACATTCAGGCTTATATTGGTAATCTGGCCCAAAAAGGAGCGAAGCAGCGGGCTATCATGATCGATTGTTGCATGTTGCAGACTTACGTTGCTTTTTTCCGCACAAGACATGCTGTCTTTGCGGTTACCCATCGCAGCTACTTTTATGTGGACGTGAGCAAGGAGTGATGGAGTCTGTTCAGAATCAGAGCGCAGTGTTGTTCTTCAAGTATAAGACCAAAAAGTATTAACTGTGTAGCTATATGACCTCAGGTAATATAGAGTACCGATCGCACGTCACAGCTACGTTCCAGGCCCTAAGCGAAACGCTGGGCAGGCATGCGGCATGGCAGTAACAGCAAGCGACAAGGATCGCTGGAACTTGCTCTCGCCGACGGCTTCCAAGTCCTTGGCGAAGGAATTCGACTTCGGAGATGCCACAAAGGGCGGTTTGGGCGGTGTGGTAAAGGGGAAAGATCGCTGGAACCTCCTGCGTGACAATGTCCAATCCCTTTCTTTACAGGCAGGCTCTGCATGACCTGTGGCGTGTGACGCTGTGTGTCCTGTCATGTCGTTCGAAGGCACGTGGTGCAAATGCCTTTTCCAGCGTGGCACGGTCTGACACTCGAGATTCCGAGATGAAAGAAGCCCTGGGCATCTTTGTGGATCCAGGGCCACTTCGAGCCCTTCGCAGCGCATCCAGCTTTTCTCTTCCACGCTGCGGAGGGCTGGAGCCTTGGAGCACGAAGGGAGACATTCACTTTCATGGCGCTTTCATGTGGAGGCGGCCGCTCGACAGGAGAAGGTCGATGACTTGATAGAATCTCCGGGTGCCATAAGCCCCTTGATTGAATTTCCCGAAGTCGACATGTCATGGCATCCTGGTTGAGTTGATGAGCGATGAGGTGTCAGAACAGCCTCAGAACCTGCCCCGGAGCCTGGCGTAGCCGGCGACTCCGAAGTACCGCCCTGCCAGGCCCGGCAATGCAGAGAGTCCTTCCAGGGCCTAGGGCAACGGCATGATGAGGGACTGATAAGGCTATGTTGAGGGTTACCTTCAAGGTAAAGCTCTAAGCACACGTTGAACTTTAGAGCTCTCCCTGTGGACCTCCGGTCGAGGCAAGCCTGGACACCGATTTGGAGGGCAAGACAGGTTGGTCGTTGTCTTGAGATCCTGCGATCGTGCGGTTGTTCTGAAGCTTCAGGCAAGGAGATTGGAGAGGAGTTTTCCGATTGGGAGTCCGAGGCTGCAGAGCGTATGCACTCAAGAGTGCTTTGGCAAAGTTGCATGTGGAAGCAAGATTCTGAGATGTTCCTTCTTGATGGAGGCCGAAGACAACGTTTCAGTCGACAAGCACGGATTCCTCACCGCCTGTGACGACATTGTCGCAAGCCCTGCCGTACACGTGCTTGGTCCTCAGGAGAGCGGTCCTCCTTCCGGGCTTTGTGGCGCGGAAGACGTCGAAGTGGGGGGGACAGAAGAGGCGGAGGCAGATCCAGGTTGTCCCATACTTGAAAGTGCACCTCCAACCGGCATGAAAGTCGAGGCAAGCAGCGCCTCGGGTGCTCCGCAAAGCAGAAGACAAAGCGGTGCAGGAGAGACTGCAGTACCAGATCTTGTCAGCCGCATGCTGGGCGGGCTTCCTGGCTGGGCAGCTTTTGCAGCCGCAGATGAGTCCGAGGAGGAGGTCCACAATGCTTGGGGTGAACACGATACAGACGACATGCTGGGACTGCGAGCTTTTGAACTGCAACAGGCTAGAGGAATAGAGGTGCCGGGAACCCCGACAGCGGCACAAGCAAGGCTGGCCAAACGGAAGCAGAAGGCACAGGAAAAAGCTAAGCGCAAAACGCATTTGGAGGTTGAAACCGCCGAGAGCACGGGTAGCCATCTGTTCGGTATGATGTCCATGCTCAGCAACCTTACCAGTACGTCGGCTACCGGCTCTGCGCATGACGATGATGAGGAAAGTGTCCATAACGCTTGGGGCGGTGATGACTCCGACTCGAAGTTTGTAGAACGCGCTGCTGAACTGGAGCATGCGCGGGGAATGGTGGTGCCCGTTCTCAAGGTCCAGACGGGTGGACGCGAGCGGTTAGCAAAGCGCAGGCAGAGAGCGGAAAAGAAGTGCAACATGCATCCAGGAGTTGCCGAAGAATGTAGCGCCGCAAGTGGCAAAGCAAGCGCTCCGCAAAGCAGAAGACAAAGCGGTGCAGGAGAGACTGCAGTACCAGATCTTGTCAGCCGCATGCTGGGCGGGCTTCCTGGCTGGGCAGCTTTTGCAGCCGCAGATGAGTCCGAGGAGGAGGTCCACAATGCTTGGGGTGAACACGATACAGACGACATGCTGGGACTGCGAGCTTTTGAACTGCAACAGGCTAGAGGAATAGAGGTGCCGGGAACCCCGACAGCGGCACAAGCAAGGCTGGCCAAACGGAAGCAGAAGGCACAGGAAAAAGCTAAGCGCAAAACGCATTTGGAGGTTGAAACCGCCGAGAGCACGGGTAGCCATCTGTTCGGTATGATGTCCATGCTCAGCAACCTTACCAGTGCGTCGGCTACCGGCTCTGCGCATGACGATGATGAGGAAAGTGTCCATAACGCTTGGGGCGGTGATGACTCCGACTCGAAGTTTGTAGAACGCGGTGCTGAACTGGAGCATGCGCGGGGAATGGTGGTGCCCGTTCTCAAGGTCCAGACGGGTGGACGCGAGCGGTTAGCAAAGCGCAGGCAGAGAGCGGAAAAGAACTGCAACATGCATCGAGGAGTTGCCGAAGAATGCGATGGAAGTGCCACGAGCTACCCTGGCAGAGCAGCAGCATCCGTATTTTCTGCTGCCGCTACAAGCATCGTGCAGTTTCAGCGGCTCATCAACTACGTGGCATCCAGCCAGGACGATGAGATTGACGAGGTTTTTTGCATATGGGGTGAGGATGATACTCCAGAGAGATTCCACGAGCGCGTGGCCGCAATGGAGCTTGCCCGCTCCGATCAAAGCGGAAGACTTCCACATCACAGAGTTCTCCGACAGAAGCGCAAGGGGCGTGCCAGCTCCCAGAAGAAGGAGCGCTCGTGCACAGGTTCAGGTTTTTTGGGCACGAATGGGCACATTGACATGGCACTTGAATCCAGAATTATCCGCCTGCAGGATCCAGATGATCCTTTTCTTCTCGACCTGCGGCAGCAGATCGAGTAGTTCAGCACGTAGGAACAGAGGATTCTCACGGGTTCCTGACTTGATAATGCCCAGGTCTCAGTTCTGCTTTCACCAAAGGTGATGCACCGTGCCACATAGCGGCCGTGTTCCAAGAACTGAGGAACACATGCACTGCTGCTAGTCCTCACGTGAATAGAGCAGATGATAGCAGATGCAGCACCGTAGCTTGTTGCATCACATAGTGCCACTGATCTGGCTTCAGACTTGTCAGGGTAGCCGAGGGGCCACCCATCCCTTGCCTAGAGATGCGGCAAAGTTGGCTGCAATAGCAGAGGCTTCGAACCGGTCCAGAGTCGACGTCTGTTTCTTCGTCAGCTTTACAGGCGCAGGGATGGAGAGTGCACTGGCTGCCAGCACTGGAAGCCTCAAGGCCACAGCCATTGAGTCGAGCATGGACTTTCCCACACCTGGAGCTCCCGAAATAAGGCGACTGGCAAAGCCAAAAGTGTAAGCCTTGATGGTTCAAGGGGTGTGTGAGCCTGAGCACTTGTATACCACAGTGACCAGTCAATTTGACTGGTCACTCTACCAGGTCCCTTTGATGATGAATGCAGCGCCCAAGACGCCAGGCATCAGACGCTTTTGGTAGGTTGACACGGCTTGGCACCTGACCATTCCTGACCAGGAGGACGTGCCTCGAAGCAGACCCCAATCATTCCATCAAAGGATGTATCTCCGTGTGGTGCTTAGTTTCCTGCGCGTCGACAGGTGTATGTTAATGCTTGATCTTGTTTTCTTCCTGTGCTTGCGAGGGAGCAGCTCCAACTCTTTGTGTTTCCTTCCAGCCTCGAGCATCCGGAGGACGGTCGCAGCCACTGTAGGACTCGACTTGTGTTGAAAACCAAAGTCTCCGCGAGTCTACCGGCCGCCTGGAGCTTTTCGCCTACTACGGCCCCGTGGATGAGGCGACTCGAAGAGCAGTCTGTTGCTGCCGGATAGCCTCGCATCTCCTCGCAGAGGCTGGCAAGTTAAGAGGTGGAATTGGAGGCTCGCACATCCACACGGATAGCTCCTCAGAGTCCACACGAGGAAACACAGACTTCAGTGTTGCGTCCTATGAGTGATAAACCTTCTGAGGATCTGGAGATTAGACAAATGATCCATCACCAGACGCGCGAGGTGCTGCTCTTGCTGGCATCTTAGTCTAACAAAGCGCATCCGGAGCTCAGATGCTCTTCACCCTCTTCAAGAAGCCGAGGGAGACTGTCGAGGCCGCAGTAGCCGAGTGGATGTGGAAGCCGTGTTTCTGGAATCCTTCGTTGCAGCGTTGGTAGGGGTAGGGTACGGTCATGCCCAGGCTGTCGGCTCGACTTGCTGTGGGATTGTGCAGAAGACCTTCAGCCCTTAAGCCACTTGTTTAAGGTCACAACAGTACGAGATTTTGGAAGTTTCCCAAAGCAATGGCGTGCGTGGCAGCCGGCCCGTCTCTGTCACGGGGGTTGGTGCCGCCTCCTCCGCCTCAGCCGCCCATATCTGGCGTGCTGGCAGCTAGCCGAGAATCTCCTTCGCTGCCTCGACCACCTCCACCAGAGCCTCGAGCACCACCACCACCACCCACGCCACCACCCGGACCACCATCAGCGGCCGCTTCTGCAGTGCCGCCGCCTCCACCACCGCCAACAGAGCAGTCCCAGCCAACGCTTCGCTTGGAGACAGGCGGAAATGAGAAGTCCCAGTCGACAGTGGATTGCAAAGGGGCTGTCCGCGGCATCTTGCAGCGTATGTGTGTCCTGGTTGTATTCCGAAAGCTCGGATCATGTTCTGCTTATGCAAGTCGGTGATTTCGTTGAATCCAGAACAACGCGCCCTTGCGAAATCAAGGCGGCTCCATGAGACGTCGTGGAGTTGCTCCTCTCCAGGTTTTCAGGAGCTTGGATGCCACCAGACGCGGCTGGCTCGGCCCCAGACAGGCCCCGAACACTCGCAGTAGCAGTCGTGGGCAGTCTCAGTCTTCGAAGCCTTGCAGGTCGCGCGAATGGCATGGGCCATGGAGCCGCAGCTGGGCTTTCAGGAACTGGCGTTGCTGTTCCAGCACCTTGGCCGAAGGGCGCTGCTTCTCCTCATCTCTCGATCAGTCGATTGGAGGTGTTTGGGCGGCAAAGACGGGCGCATCGCCCCAGTGGACTTCTGCAGAGCTTTCCAAGCAGTGGATGCGGGCGTGCCAGCATCCTCAACACAAGGTAGCCAAGCATTGATTCTGTTGTTATTTAATCCTTCACGCGTTGAGGGCAGTTTCTCGATTCGACATTCGCCGAAGCTAACGCAAGATGTTGTCATCTGGGAGGAGGGGCGCCGGTGAATGTGGGACCCGCGTTCTCACCGTCCAGGCTTCATGCCCGGGGGTTTCAAGGAAGCATCGGGATGGTTGCTGGACTGAGCTTCGACACCGAAGGCGTGGGGACGGCCCTACTCCACAGCTCTCACCGCAGAAGGAGGATGCCACCATGTAGCAAGCGTCACAGGATCGGAAAGCCTCTGTGATTTTCGAGGACCCTCGTGCTCCTTTGCGCGGCGGCGGCCGGTTTCGCCCGGGGTTCAACCTCCGGACTCGGCAAGATGCCAAGCGAAACTTGACGTCCTCGAGTCGAGAGACAAGGCGAACACTCGCAACAAGCGGTGTTGGCGTTCCACTTTTCATCTCAGCCACAGGACGATCCAGCCTCTGCGGGGCATTCGCCTCAAGCCCGCAATGGAGTTCGTTGAGCGATTCGCAAGTAGAGTTCGGCTGACACGAGAATCGTCGGAGGAAGTTTGGGCTTGGAAGCTGATGCTGCTGCTGCCCTACAGGAATCTTCTTCGCTCCATGGCTCCAACTTGCATATCTTGCGCTGGCAGGACTTCGTCAGAAGACACAAAAGTGAGCCCCAGAGGAGCCCGCCTACTGCAGGCCGTGTAGCGAAGCTGTGCTAGGACCGTTCTCACACTTCTTTCCGACGCCAAGGTCGACAGGAAATCGTGCCCTCCCCAAGAAAACCTATTGCGAGCTGGATGCCAAGCAATCGCAAGCATTGAGACTTGCACCTCCAAGACTACGACTCTAAGTGGCAATTTCTTTTGCCTACATTTCACAAGGCCCAGCAGAAGTGCCGAAGCCAGCCGCGACGGCACCGAGCTACAGCAGTGAGGAGAATATGTACACAGACATGATGACTATTTCTGGAGCCTGAGCATAAGTTTCATGTAATCCGCGATCAGGATTTCGACGGCGAACGTTCCGACGGAGCCTACAGTGATAGCTTCCAGAATGATTACGACAGCCAGAGCTCTGGAAGCAGCCCGCGTGAGAAATCCAGTTTCGGGGAATGCGGTTGTGAGCGACATCACTAGCTTTCTTGTGGCGGCTGGAGCAGTTCGCAGAGATGAAAGGAGCGACATGGAGTAGAGAGGCGAGGACTTACTCTTGCAGTCTCGCTGACAGCAGGTCATTGTCGACGGATTAATGCCAGCAGCGATGGCATACAACTACACGTGGAGCGAGGCATTTGGGCTGCACTCCAGCGATCTCCACCGTGCCAGACCAGCAAGTCTTGCAAACGGAGGTGAAGCAGCTCTTGAAGCCTTGCTTCAATGAGATGGGGAGGCCATCCGTCGCCTTGCGTGTGCTGGATACGGTCTTGCTGCCTCCCCCTTGCAGCAACGGCGGGAAGTTGCACTTCGCGCACATGCAGAAGATAATTCTGAAGAGCCAGAAGGAACGGCTGCAGGCCGATGCATGCACACTGCTGGTGCATTGTCAGGTCCGCCAAAAGCCTGTACGGACTTGTCAGGCTTTGCTCAAGGATAAGAATGCTGCATTTAAGGAGCGGTGCATATGCCCTTTGCTGGAAGTGCACGGAGCATATCTGCTGTTGCAGGAGCGTGGACCCAAGGTCCCCTTCCAGTCAAAGCCCCAGCAAGCGCTCCTCGCACCCATCGCCAAGCCGAGCTGGCGAATTTTCGACAAAAGCAGTCTGTACACGTGTAGGTTTCTGTTTCATGGAGCGTGCCTGGTGAGCCTGGCAGGAAGCAGTTGAACTCCTGCGAGGAACCTGGAGTCTTAGCCAGTCTGCCAGTCTGCCAGTCTGCTGCCTTGGGGAAGGCTTATCAGCAGGAATGATGACAGAAAGACGAGTGACGAGAAGTAGGGCCGAGGCAGGTAGCCCTAGAAGATAAGACTCTGTAATTCCTCTACAGTCTCTTCCAGTGAAGGAACAAAGCTCACCAATTTTCAAGGGGCCCGCTAGAAGCTGTCCTTGTATGCAGAGTTTCCGCACACGCAGGCTGAAGTCTTGCACCAGTAAGCGCAACACCACTTACCCGGACGCAAACCTGCGATTCACGGCTAACGCTGATCTCAAGCTGCAGCTTCGATTCCCGTCAGAGCAGCAGGAGCAGCTCTGGAGGCGGACGCGGCTTCAGAGACACTGCACCAAAGTGGCTGAAATGGAGGCGCACCAATTCGCGGCAGGCTGTGTCCTTGCGTGACAACCACCGTGTTCATGCACAGGACCAAAACCTACAGGATCAGCTGGTCTCGAATGTTCATGGCTTGATGCGTTTGCCTTGGGGTTTCGGGCTGGATCTCTGGATCGGTTTGAGGTCATACTTTGCCGAAATCCTGGCGACGTCGACGACAGGCAAGAGCCTTCTGGCTATGCATTGTCTGTGCTTGTTTTGGGAGCTTGACTCGTCTTTGCCTGTGCCAGATGGGACCGCTATTGTGCTGTCAGACGTGTGGGCAAGGCCACCTATGTGAAGGCCACGGTGCATGATTGAATAGTTGCACTGAGTTATCGGGATTGAGGATGTCTGCGGGGTTTTGTAAACATTTCCCGGCAGCGTTTCTGCAGGCTAGAAACCTGCCTCACAGCGGCTATGCTTCCATGGACGATGGCTTGTCTGACAAACACCCAGGCTGGTGAGAGTCGGACCCAAAAACACGTGTTGCTTTGCTTTGTCGGGTGCCTCCATCATGAGGAAATCAGATTTAGCATTTGCACAGATGTGGCAAGGCGTTTCTTCCCTGATTTCTGCGGGCTACGCCAAGGGGCCAATTCTTTGATGTCCTCCACGTTTCACACGCATCCGCATCTGCGACAAACAAACAGGTGTGTTTCACTGCGACAAGAGCGTTCGTTACAACTGCAGACAAAACAGGCATGCAGGTTATGTGTTATGTCAGTTCTGTCTCAAACGGGCATCCTCGGCAGAAGCCCTAAACCCCAGAGGCAGCACTGCAGACCATACCCCGCAATCTAGGATAAATGCCCGCTATGTGGGCATTCAACTGATGTTACATCGGGAATCCAGCTACTATTCCCATAAGTGGTTAAGGGGTCTGCAGCACCCAACCCGGGTGAGGTGGGGTCGGCTTGGGGCCGTAGGGTGGGGTGGGGTGGGGAAGGGTCACTCATCATGTATTTAACTAACGTTCACAGAACGTTCTCAGAACCCCATGAATTGATGCTAGTTAAGGATTTAAGGATCATTTGCTGCAATTTGTGTTTAGGAGAGCCGGGGTTGGGTCCCCGCCCAAATGCTGTGAGCTTTTCTGCTTCAACGCGGCTTCGGTTCACAGGGGAGTCGGAAGGATGTCGGAGTTCCATCATGGTCCGAGGAGGCCGTGACCCTGCGCTGTGTGCAGACCGGTAAAATCTTCCGCTGTAGTCCCTGTATGATGATTCCAGCACAATTACACTGAAAGAATTAAAGCACATTTGTGGTATTCCCGAAACGTTTTGATAACAGGTGAGGGTCCTTCCACATGGCGATGAAGGCACCTTGGCCCTCTGTCGCCTGAAGTGTCGCGGCTCCCGTTCTAGCGAGGCCATGTGGTTGCTTCTGGCTGCCTGCCTGAGCTTGGAGCTCAGTTGCGAGCACGGCCAGTTGTGGGCCCGCTGCTGCATGATAGACCTGGTATGCCGTGCCTGTGAAAAGGGCAGACTGCGCCTCTTTGTGTAAGGTCAATGTGCGGCCCAGACACAGTACTTCGAAGTGCTTCAGTGCGCATATCTCGCGGAGATTCGTTGGCTAGAGGCGCTTGCTGCGGGTTCACACCGTTCGAGGTACCGTGGTCCTTCTCAATGCACCAGATGTCAATGTGTTGACCCTAAACTTTCCGTGGTCTAGAAAGATCTGGGGAGAGCAAAGATTCTGACAGGCCACTGTTGCATCCAAAGTGTTTTCGGTCCAGGTTTGAACCAGAACAGCGATCTGTGTCGAGAGCTTCGGGAAGGATTCTTCCTACGAGAAAAGGGTTGCCAGGACCGGTGCGTTGCACTTTTTCGTGGTCTCTGACTCTAGCCGCTGACTGGCCTGACCCTAGAGGGCTCGGCTCGAATGGCGAGTTGCTTTGGCCAACCGTGAAGCTCCGTGTGGGGCACCGGACACCGAAGCAAGCACGACTGCTTTTCACTAGCTGAAACCGGGGCGGCACAGAGACAAGTCATTCACCTGCCTAAACCAACGACATCTCATATCCAAAGGGGCAGGAGGGAGGTCTAGAGTGTTTTGTTTTGGCTTCAGTTGTCTGACAGGACGGCAAAATCTGCACAAACTGTGCGTATGGGAATGGCACAGCCCCGACGACTTGTCAGTGCGAGAATCCGCCATTCTCCGTCCCGGCCCAGTGCCCCACACCATTCCACTCGAGTGGGCTCCGTTTACTTGTTCCATGAGGTACAACGAGGAATGCGGCATGGGGAAGGAGTGTGCCGAGGCTAGCGGCAAGCGGCCCTTGGCAGCACCGTCCGCACTGCGATAAACATGCGCTCGTGCAGGGGCAAGGCATCTGCTTTCGACCCTGTCGAGCGCTTACGAGGGATCGTGCTGAAGGCGCAGATTGTTGAACCTCCGAGTTCTCCCACCAAGGCATGACCTTCCTTCACATCACCTCTTGTCCCACAGACTATTGCCAGTGGAACACGCTGACCTTGCTATGTGAGGACAGGCAGGCTTGCGATAACTTTCCGAGATGCTTTGATTCTTCGCCGTGCCTGCAGGGCTCCCGATTTGCCGACGGTGTATTGGAGGGACAGCGCAGGCCGTCGACGACGTTGCAGCAATTCTTGCACTGATTGTTGCGCAACTTGCCAGGTACAACGGTGAGGGAGATAGCAACAGAAGTGATTCAGCGGACGGAGCCTGCTGATGCATACTTTCCAATGAGCACGCATCTCAGCAGTCGTAATGCTGGTGCTGCTTGCCTTTTCTTTTGCTGCGCCTTGTATAGCGCGTGACTTGCCTAGCGGTCGCTGATCGGAGGCTTTGCGGCTTTCCGCAAGAGCGGAGAAGGATTTCGAATCGAAGGTGTCCAGATTGAGGCCGATGCGGAATTGCAGTCCCTCCAGACTTGTCCATTGGAGCAGGGATGCTGAGCCTCACGCATTGCGAGATTTTTGATTGACGAAGTGCCTCGACAGAACATCACCCAGCCGGAAGCCCTCTTCTTGCAACTCGACACGAACATCGATGGTGTGTTGAGCTCTGCAGAGTGCCCACCTCGGAAAGAGCACGTGAAGCTCCTCAATCCGATGCTCCGGTCTGCCTCTGACAGGTTCGGTCGCATCGGAGAGATCTTTTTATCTCTGAGAAATGCGGCTCTGATCTTAGACATTAGAGACAAACGATTTGTGTGGAGGAACGCCGAGTTGCCTCAGCGTTTGCTGAGGTGATAGAGACACGTGCTGCACAGGAGATGTCGGTATTGCTTCGGGCATGTTCGGCGATCGCTGTCCGCTTGCCAGGATGCGGCGCGACGACTCCAGTCGGTGCCCAGGCAGCAGGTCACCCCTGAGGCCAGGGGTCGAGAAAGGTCAGAGAGTCTTTAGGCAACACGTTGTTTGTTTGCAGGTGTGCAACGCAAGAAATCCACGGCAGTACTACTGCAGCTTTGACTCGGACTGCAAGGAGGACTGCAAGGCATCTCACAGTTGCAGTCAGAATTTCCACCTTGCAGCTTCAGCTGAGAAGACAAGGCATGTGGATGGAAGAGTGCCACAGATCGTGCGTTTTCCATTTGCGTGCAGCCTTCTGCAGAGGCCGAGCCTCCGGAACAGTTTGTGTGAAAGATAGGGCCGCGTCTGTGCCAGTGCGAGCAACAGGTCTGCCACGCAGACGGTGGCCAGGCTCCGCCATAGCCGAATCTGGCCCGTCTTCCGAGCTTGCCAATGGCTTCTGCCAGGTCTTCTGTCCGTCGGACGAGATGTGTCATCCGCCTGGAGACTGCAGCAACTGCGTCGACAGGTCGGTTCCTGTGCTTGGTTGGCACTAGCGCGGGCAAATGAATCCCAAGTGAGGACGATTGCGGACCACGCTCAGCACGTGTGCCTGGCGCTGTGGTGGCTCGGCCGAAGCTTCGGAAAACACTTGCTTGATTTTTCCACCTTTCCGTGTATAATGTGCTTGGGGTCGGGTGGCTTTGATTAATTAGTTGGGAATTGAGGGGTCCGAGAGCTTTGGTGGTTGGCTTGGGGTCTGGGTGGCTTTGACTAACTTAGAATGGTTTTGGGGGTCCAAGGGGTATTGGTTCTTGGTTTGGCTTCTTCGGGCTTCAGGGCTAGGGTTTTAGGGTTTGAAATTGGCTGGTGGTTTTAGGTTTTAGGGTTCAGGGGGGTATAGGGTTTAGGGTCAAGAAGGGGGTTTAGGGTTTAGGGTTTAAGCGTAACCAAGGTTTTAGGGTTTGGAGGGGGGTTTAGGTCGGGCTTCACGGAAGAAAAATGTGGGTGCTTTAAGACAGACCATTCGCAGAAAGGAAGCAAACAACAAAAATCAGCCGGCAAAAACAAACGCCAAAAAACGCATCATAGAGGCCACTGGCTCCACATTGCCGTTTACATCTTTCTATCCCCGCAGGAAGCTGCTACCACTGGCAGCAAGGGCTCATGGTAGTGGTGTCAGAGTGGAAGCCAACACGCCGTGGGGCCGTGTCCAGCGAGATGAACGCGCCGAGAAAAAGCGTAGGCTGAAGAAAGCTTTTCACCAGTCTGGTGAAGAGCTAAGAGGCTAGCAGGCTTGCCACAAACGCGAAGCGGGTGCAGACAAAGCAAGCGACACTCAGATGCAAGGATGAGGCAGGTCTGCACAGCATGCCCCAAAACTAGGTGTCCCATTTTGTTTTCTTGTTGCTGAAATTGCCCAGCAGATGGCCAGGTGTAGACACTCCCATTACTATTCTGGATGCAGAGCTGCAGACTTCCTGACCTCTTCTCAGGTGGGATCCACGGCCGCTGACGCAGTGGACAAACTGGGTGTGCCGCTGGCGCAACAAGGTGCACCTTCTGCAGTTTACAGCTGACGGGGACATTGCTTGATTCCAACGAGTTGGTCCCGGCTCACTGAAACTGGACGTCTGTGCTCAGGTCGGCATGCCTTGTGCGAATGACCAGGATGTTTCCGGTGCACTAGTATGCGCTTGCGATAGTCAAGGTTCTCTCTGCCCCCCCACTGTAGCGCGCAGGACTGCATCTATGGCATGCGAAGATGCTTGGATGGCGCTTGCATGCCCTTCCAGCCGTACCTGCCTTAAGCTTCCGAGTTTGGTGCAACTGGCATGAGTAGCAGATGAAGCACCACCGGCGTGAGAGCGAAAGCCGCATACGGGGCTCAGGTACAATGCCAATCAGACCTGTGAGAGCGATTTCGACTGCCCTCATCTTGGTTTTTACTGCCCGTCCGACCCGACCGGCGGACAAAATCCATACTGGGCTGCTCTGTTGCACGTTGGCTGTGCGACCATGCAGGACAGAGGCACAAGTTGCAAGCTCAAGTCCTGGAAGCTCAGGTTCAGTACTGCAGATCCCAGCGTGAAGAGGACATGACTTGCTCAGAAGACCGAGAATGCAGATGGCTGAGCGTCTGAACGCCAATGCTCTAAGACTTCTTGAACGGACGTTTCCCTTTGAATTGGTTCAGGTCAGCCTGGGATGCGCTGCAACGTGGGTGAACCACAGCCTCGCTGCCGCCGACTTTTCTCGCTTCCAATAGGCCGCACCTACGAGCGTCCGCATACTCGACTTGAGCAGAGCAGACTCGAGATGTCACGAGGCGCACTGGCGGCTGAGGACGTCTTTTGCCAATTTGGCTGGAGGGACAGGTGGCACTTGACAACAGCATGCATGTGTAGCTGCTAAGCTGGTCAGTGCCTGAAGCTCTTCGGCTTTGCAGGGCGTGTAGATTGCGCTTCTGAGTCTTCTCGCGGCCTTCGCAGGGATGGCAAATGTGCTCCGCCAGCGCAGTCCAAGCAGGCCCGGAGCCGGAGCCGGGGGCCTCTTTGTCTCAAAGTTCGTCCTCTCTCCCTCTCAGGCTGGCAGAAGCTGTGACACCGACCTCGACTGTGAAACAACAGACGAGACAGGAAGGATGGGCAGCTGCACCTGCAAGGCCAGGTGCACAGACCTTGGGAGCACGTCTGTCGGAGCACCGAAGCTCAAGCTCGTCCTAGCAGGCGTGGTGGGACAAAGATGATCCCAAGTATTGCATGCCTGTGGCGGGAGACTATTCGCGGCATCAGGAAGCATTGAGAAACTACCTCTGGTTCAGGAGGGGAGCCATGCTGTCAACCTGTATCAATTTTCACGCCCCTCTCGCACATTTTGCAGGGCAGAGAATTGTGGGAATTTCTGGACGGAGCAAGAATGCTTGCGCATCTTCGGCAACGAGGCCGGGTGCCTTCTTGCCAACATGCCGCTGCTATGTTAACTGTGTCATGAAAACGCTGCTCTAGGCCATGAGACTCAAGCTTGCTGTGGAGTGCGAGACACAGCAGCTCTCCGGAGGTGCCCGGCTTAGACTCGTCATTCGGAAATTACGGAACAACGGCGAGAGTATGCAAGGGTGCTCCGGCCCTGCGCATTACCCCCAATGCCTCTGTCCCAGGCCCGTATGGCCCGCCTGAGGAGTGTGGTGCCCTTGTGTTGTAGCTGAGTTGTTGCAGCTGGAAGCTCTCTGGCTGGCAGATGCTGGCAGGTATTGTGGACGACGAGCGATTCGGAGACAGATGTGCCATGATGGATGCATTGGGGTGATCGGTGTCGGCACCCCACTGCCATACTGCGTAAGAGCACCAACCTTACTGCACTCAACACCTCCACTCCCTGGCAAGTCCCGCCCACTGATGTGGGGTTCGACACGGCTGCCGGTTTCACAGCGCGGTCAGTCAAGTTGACCATGCTTCAGAATTTGCAACGGCTTTCAAACATGATGCAATTTGCACGGTTTTTTTGGGGTTCGATGCGCTGGCGTTGGTCCGGATGAAGAGCTTGTCTGTCCATGCTTCCAGCTCACGTGCCGCCGTTTTGGCCGATCCAACAGTAGATAGTACCCTTCGGCGGCATGCCACTTGGCAGCAAGGCAGAGATAGGCAGAGTGTATTTCAGAGTTCTCCCACAAAGCTGACCTGCCCACGCCTTGGTGGTCGTGATTCCCTGCAGGTGCGGTTGAGCATCATGCCGAGTTGGTCGCGGGCTCCTCAGAGGACTTTGCCGGGTGATCGAGGCTGGCCTGTGCTCTCCGAGTCGTCTCCGAGGTTCAAGATTGCACAGCAAGCCCATGGCCACACCGTTCTCGGATTCGCTGGCAGCAAGCTCCGCGCCCGAACAGAGAGGCTCTCAGATTCTATCGAACCACTGGCAGCTCAGGACATGCCTCGAGACTCCTGGTCCCGGAGCCGGATGCTTAGGAGAGAGGCATCGTCGTCATGCGGTTTGCCTCATGCGGTCTGCCCAGGCTTACAATCCATACCCCTTCATGAATCCGACGGTCCATCGCACGACCAGCGGTCGTCACTTTCCGGACACTGCCTTCTTGCAGATCGCTGCAGTTCACGGTGATTTCATGATATGACTATGACTATGACTGTTGTCCAGTGAATCCTGACTCGAGTGCCCGAAGGCGGCTTGTTGCGTACTTTTGGTCTGCTCCACGCAAGCGGCACGCGCCGCGTTTTGATGTTTCCTTCTGTGCCTCTTGGGTGCCTTGATGGCCAACAGGAAAGGACTATTGCCTTTTTTGTCCTAGTTCTCCTAGGTAAATGTGACACGTCAGAATCTTGTTGCCGCTACCTCTCTTAATTGCTGAAGCCGCAGAACTGAGAATACTACGGCGCAGAGTGACGGACAGGACCGCACGCCGGGCTTTCGCAATGTAGTGGGCTGCTCGGTGTTGGAGTCTTCTCCAAACCTGCCTTTTCCGGCATTCCTACTCTTGTATGAGATTGTCAGGTCGACAGAATGCCAGCGCCATGGCGACCAGAGCCAATGTCACTCTCCAGACTACAGAGGCATGATGCACGTAGATGAAAGTCGTCGAAGCTGCGGAACAAGACTAAGTCGCTTGAGTCGTTGTGCATTGTGCAGTGAGCAGCCGCTGGTGCACTACGCATCTGCCACATTCTGGGACATGGTCTCAGGTTGATTTCTGTCGAGTCTTGGATTCTCGCCCGATGTGGAAGTGTTGCTTTACTCAAATGAGGCTTGGCCTGAGCAGCGCCGGCGGAGCGCAGCAGCATTGAGGCAAAGGTTTCGTGATTCGCAGCCAAAGCCGACAGGAAAGGCGTCGCCCTGCCGATGATGGCTCTTGAATTCGCAGGCACGAGCGCCAGATGAACGACCTGACATCTAAAAGCACAGGCTCGCACCATCAGAGCGATTACGCTGTCCTACATTAACGTCATTGACGTGCTTCTCTCGGACTCGAGCAACGATTCCAAGAGGCACTTCCTCCAAGGAAGATTCAGGTGCCGCAGATTGGCACGAGGAGGGCAGAGTGGTACTCAAAGCAAGTTGAACGATCCGGGACGGAAGCGTTCAAGCGTGAGTCGAAGGACCTGATGCACCAGGGCAATACCGTGCCTCGAGAATCTCGAGATCCGGCGTGGGGATCGCTTGGTAGGCTTGCTGCGATGCTTGTCTCGGAAAGTGCACTCTGCGCCTGAATCCTTCTCCTTGCAAGGTCGCGCAGTGCGTCGGCCCTCCGATCGCTTTAGCGGATCCAGACCTCAGTTTCAAGTTTCACTAGCTCGAGACTCGTCAAGCGATAGCAGCAGAGCATCAATGGACCAATAGTCGGGTAGCAGATGCAGTGAAAATGGTTGGAATTCGAACCACAGCAGCAGTTCAAGCAACTGAGCAGCATGTCCTGCTTTTGCGTCACCAGACAATCTGCGGCATTTGGCTCGACGTATCTGGTCACGAGTATCCATCTGCGATTTCACGGCTGATATGCTTGACAGACCTGAAGAGCCGCCAGCCCCACTTGACTGAGCTCCAGCCAAAGAAAGCAGTTGAGCACTCGAAGCTTGAACCGTCACCGACAGCACACCACAGTTTTCACATCTTTGTCGTTTCCATGCCATCGCTGTCCTTGCTCCTCCAAGTCTAGCTGGCACCTCAGCTCCAGGAACTCCATCCCGGTGCGAGTTCCGGAATCTGAGCCAGTGTTGTAGCTCAGCGGCTGATCCTCGGCCTGCCTCGTTTGGTCTGGGAGTTCGGGTGGGTTTCATGCGGCTCTCCCGTTTGGAGCTGCCGTCAAGTCGACGAAGAGATCGTCCCTCAGAGGCACTGGCCGACCTGGCTGTTTGTGGACGGCATGAAGTTTCATTATGATTCTTCGGCATGGCCTTCAGAGAGGCTCAGGGATTTCAAGCAGAGCGTGACGGACGTATGTCTGTGTGCACGAGAGTCTGTGTGAGGGTCGCAAGTCAGACGACGTGTGTTGCAACTACCGCGTGATACCGCGTGTAGTTGTTAGCTGCATATGTTGCCTCTGTTCAGTCGCAATTAGAGAGACAGGAGATCCACACGTTTGTCAATTTTCGCCATTAGGGCTGCTCGATACAATCTCGTTCGTAGAGTACCCTTTTCGACTTATTTGGGTACCAATCCACAGAGACATGCTGGGTATCCTCAAGTCTTAAGTATCCAGAGGCAGCACTTTTAGCTTGAGGCATCGCTGGAGCCAAGTTGTGTTGCATTCACATCGTTGCACGGCCAGGCCGCAGATACTTTAGCTGTAATGCCTTTCGTGCCGTCAGCACGTCACGCCTACCTGCACGGGTTGTGCAGACCAACGGTGGAGACAAATTTGAAGACATGACCTAGACAGCTTCAGTTGTAAACCTCTATGACCCAGCTCTCTTTTCGGATCAAGTTTGCTCGGCTGGCAGCCAAAGTTGAAACTAATCGAAAATGCTGTTTTGGATCCATGCAGCGGCCACATTGCTTGCTGCCATCGTTCTTCAAAGGGGTTTAGGCTCCGCAGGAGCATCCCCCTTCATGCAGCAACTTGGGCCGGCACCTGCGAATCCTCGCGATGACAGTTGCGAGAGGCTGAATCGGCTGGAAGAGGCCGCGCTAGCCAAGACAACTGGCTCTGAATTTGAAGAATACCGGAAAGCACTGGCAGCCTGGCGCAAGGCTCACCCTTGTTACCAGCCTAGCTGTCGCACAGATGCTTTGGGAAAGCAGCTTTGCAAAGACGGTGCGAAGCTTTCTGCCTTGCTGGGCCCAGCCACTGGAGACGAATGGGATGCCTGGATGCGAGAGCTGGCTGTGCACGAAGCAACTCCCGATGACTGTGCCAACTTCGCAGCTCGCCAGGTTATGGAGATGTGGCCTCCGCATGTGTGGCACTGGCCTCAACAGACAAGTGAGGTCATTCTGGATGAACTACTGGGCGACGCTGACTATGCTTCATACGCTGATGCAGCGCATTTGGCACCCCCTTTCGGCGCTCCACAGGTCAAGTTCCGGCATCGTCCTCAAGGGCGCTTTCAAATGCACCGAGTGGAGCAACTGAACCATTGGAGGGTGCTTCGAAAGGCTGTGCCTGGGCTCGAGTTGTCCCAACTGGAACAGGTAGTCGAGTTTGGAGGAGGCACTGGCAATCTTCCTGCGACGTTTTCTGACCTTGGTTACACCGGGGTCCACTTCGTTTATGATTTTCCGACTATGATTCTAATGCAGAGATACTGGCTTCATTATTCTGGCGTGCCAGCAGTCCTTGGCGTGGATCTGCCACAAGGAACCGTGCGATCCACTGGAAACATGAGGATTGTGTTAGAGAATTCATTGAGTGATGAGCTTGTGAGCCATTTAGACACAAGCAAGCTTCAGGATTCCCTATTTGTGGCCACCTACTCCTTCACGGAGGCCGACTTTGAATCACGTGCCAAGATATGGCGCATCGTAAAGAAGTTCGGTGTGATTCAGTTGGCCTTCTGGGCACAGTTCTACGGCAAGGACAACATGAAACATATCGAAGAGCTTGTGGAGACCGACTTGAAGCCATCTCACTGGGTGGCCTGGTGGACGATGCCACCCGGCTGGCATGCTACCCCTGGCATTGCCTACTACCTTGTAGCCGTGCGCAAGGACCGAGGCAATGTGCGTCGCTTGCGTTGCGTGGAGGAGCTCGGTTGCACCAGCTCAACAGCCCACACTCTGCTCTTGACGGAGACATGAGAGAAGCTTACACGTAGCCGTCTTTCACGCGCTGTGTCTCGTGTTCCTGGTGTGCTGCTCTTAGTGCGACCTCTTCGGCCAGACGGTTTTCTCTTGTCGAGACTGCTTGGGACAGCGATTCAAGCACTTCTCTCCAAGCCGAGGCGGTGCTCGTCCTGCATAAGTCGAGAACCTCTGAAATACTTTTCTTGAAGCTCTCTGTGATGAAGTCGTTGCCGGGAGATTGTTGCGTCCCTTCTGCTGCCGTGGACCCGGCGACGAGTCTTGGTTTCTCTCGCCACTTGACCTCCCTTTCGCACGCTCTTGGTGAGAGAGCACCGGGAGAACAAGCCATCCCTGCGAGTTCTGAGCAGAGCTCGGCGGGGCAGCTAGAGTTTTCCAGTTCATGGAGCGGCCCGCAGCCAAGATAGCTCTGGATGCCTCGCAAGAAAATGGGTGGCCGACTCGCTTGCACGCTTGACCAGTTCATCGGCCTGTACCACGCCGTGTTCCATTAAACGTCGCTTTTCAAAACACCACCTCTTGGCGCTGCAGTGTTTTACTAGCCAACATCTCAGATCTCCTTGTTGGGGATGGAAGGCTTTTCCTCTCGACATCACCATTGCGTATTTCAGGGTTCGCCATCGAATATCACCTTTCTTTGGTTTGGAGAATTGTCCTCCCAACATGAATTTTAGGGTTTACCGTTGTGCATATGTCATGTAGGGGGTTTGCCTAGGGTTTAGGTATCCCGCCCGGATTTTCTTCTTAACCTCATTCCGACTCCTTCCTTTCCTTCAATCCCTTCATCAATCACTTCATCCTTCCCTGCTTTCCTCTTGACCTGATCGCTCCTTCATGGCGACCCTAACGTGCCCGACCCCTGTGACAGCCGGCACCTTCGCTCCCAGCCACCCTCAACTCGCGACAAAAATCCTGCGCGGCATTTTCTTCTATGCTTGGCGCTGAAAGCGCATCGGGAAAGCTGAGATTGTCAAACCAGTCGTATGAGGCATGGTGGTGGCGCAGATCGTGAGAATCAGGCGCTGCCTCGTTGCTCTAACATGGTGCCAACATGATTTCGCGGGGTCCCGTCTGGCAAGGAACAACACCCTGCGAACGTTCTGCATTACGGCTTGGACCTCGTTTCCTGCCAAGTCGCTTCTCATCCGAGTTTTGCCCTGTCGCAGCCTGGGGACTACTTTTACAAGACGAGCATCGACGGCCAGCCCGTGAGCGACTGCAAAATCGAGGCTCGGCCTGTGTTCCCTATTGCCTAAGCATGAAAAGCGTGTGGAGGTTCCGCCGGGCTTTGACCAAGCCTCAGAAGGCTTGACCATTCCTTGGGAGTCTGTCTCGGGCACTGGATTGGAGATCTCGGAGGCCTGAGCCCCTCGTGCCTCATGACACTTCGTCTGCAGCTCTCGCGTCCGACTTCGGCCTCCGCCACAGGCCGATGCCCAGATCCGATGTGTGGTGGGGCCGGTGGACTTCGACAGCGCCTTGACAGAATGCTCGTCTCTGCGCGTCCCAGCATTTAACAAGCACTCGCTCGCTGGTGCACTTAGAGTCTCTTCGTCAGTGTTCTCTGTTCATGCTTGGACTCCTCCTCCCCCTGTCTAACAACTCCCCAGTCTGCCTCGGAAGTCCGCAGCTTGGAAGCCTGGTGCTGACGATCCTAGACCGACGATGTCCCCTCTTGTCCATGCCATGCTTGATGCCGGAGTGGAAACATGTCAAACAAGCCTCTCGCTGGGCTCGAGATGCAGCCATTCAAACAAGTGCCGACACCCCTCATCCCTCGCAATAGAATGCTGCCCTAGATGAGAGAGATTCACGCAGAAGGCTTGAGGAGTTTCGATGACAACAGACAGAGCGTTTTTTGGTCAAGCGAGGGCGACGGGGTGCGGGCCGTAGGATTTGCTCGGATCGCTAGCAAGGCAAGTCCTAATGGCATTTCCGATAAGGCTGTTACAGTTTCTTCGACAATTTTGCTGACATCATGAACAGCTGCCAGATAGAAGGATGGGGTCTCCAGAATCTGTTATTCTTCTTCAAGTAGCGCTCCCAGGTGAGGAGCGAGACTGGCTGCAGTTCAGACGGGATGACTGGGCCTGGAGCCCAGCTGAGATTGGGCCGTTGGACACATAGAGGGATTACTTTAAGGCCAAAGTATATACTATTTGGGTACATGGACCCTTGGGGTTCACCAATATCTACTATCCTAAACACAGCGGACCTGTATGGGACCCTTGGCACACAATGCACATGCGAATCGTGTCGCGGCATGCGAGAGGGCAGTGCAGCCGGCAGGAGCCTGCGCACCACAAGAAATGGATGCCCTTAGGTCGGCCACAGTGTGAGTCGTGGCCTTTAGAACTTCAAGATTGCATTGCCAGGCCACAGGCACTTGCTGGGAACCGTCGGCCTTTGTCCCAGAGCCCAGAGAAGAAAGTGTCCTGAGTTTGTAGGGGCCTTGTGCCTAGGTTCCTCCACAGACCTCGCGCTCACGTCAGCCTGGCCTGTTCATGTTGTCTACCAGTTACAGGGCCATGCGCCCACCACGAACCCAGCTTGGAATCAGTTTGGGCAGGTCGCAAAGAAGTCCTTTAGAAAGCTACAGCTACAAGCTGGACCCTGTCCAAACATTCTCGCATTAGTGTAGACCGCAAGTGTACATAAGTGCATTGACATGCATTCCTCAACTCACCATCGGGCTTCATGACTTCTGCTATGCAGGAGGATTGTAGGTGTAATCTCGAGAAGTGCCCGAGCGAAATTTCCAGGTTTCGCGACTCCAAGAGTGATTGCACGAGCAACCCTTCTCCTATCGAGGAGGCCGGACGGAAGTCGCTCTGATAGGATGCCAAGAATTTGTTCCAGTTTACTCTGACGAGGTTGTGCACTTCGAGAGTGCCATGAAAGCCGCCCTGCCAAACACGGTGCTCGGCTGCATCCTTGCAGACGACCGGCGAGTATACAACGATTTTGCCCAGGTCTTCTTGAACATTTTTGACCTTGCCTCCGCTTTATCGGTTCCCAATTCGATGCTGTGCAACACCATGCCATCAGCTTGGACAATGCCTTTCAGTCGTTGTGTGTTCTCATTACAAGCGAACTTCTTGCCGAACGGTTTAGGTTCAACACCATGGGAGCCTTCCACACCGCTATTGAGGTGCTCACTGTTTCCTTCCTTGGCCTACTCTTGTGTGTCACTGACGAGAAGGTTTATGGCGAAGAGTGGGCTTTCTATCGGACACCAAACCCGACATCCTGTGGGGTTTGTGCCGCCGACTTGATTGATGGTCTTTGGTTTGTGGTTGCCAATGTTTGCCTGAGAGACCGGCTTTGGAGTGATTGTGCTGGCAGGCAAGAGTCTTCGGCCGAGACATCATCCTGTTCACGTTTACAGGCATGTTCCGTTTTTTCGGCATGTCTGCTGTGTTAGTGTTAGTGCTGCTGGGATGCAGCCTCGTCCCAGGCAGTCTGTCAACCTCGGCAGCACAATGCTGAAGGCCGCAGAAATGCTCGACAAAGTTGCGTCTTAGTTGATCTTCTCATCAGGACTGGGAGGTGCGCTACCTGATCCGAGCAAAGCTGGCCACGAAATGGCCTGGAGGCATTTTTTCTTCTGCAGTCATCCTGGTTCCGGACCGGACCCATGCGAATGTAAGAGTCGCAGGGACTTACGATCTCCTCCGTCGTGTCCTCGAAACTGTGACCATTCTCTTGTTCTGACTTGACCTCCTCAAGAGCGTCAGAATTGCCAGGCCACAACTGCATCCACTTCTGCCAGGAGTTGGCGCTGGCACTCGGTGTCAGCCCAGTTCCGGCGGCGACCTTGGCATCTGCTGTGAAGGCTAAATGGTACGATTGTCAAACACGGAGGCATGGGTGCGCAATTTGCACGAGACAGGCCTGTTTTGCGTATGGTGGTCACAGCTTTGGTTCGGCTCTGCCTCCCCACATTTTGCAAGACAGGGGCCAGTGTCTTCCAACTTCCGTGGCCGCTGTCTTCCGTCAAGAGCTTGCTCTTCGGCGACAGACCAGCGCTCATGGACGCTCCAGGCGTGTTCAGCTTTAGTCGCTTTAATGTCAGCTCGCAAGCGGCTAGCAGAAGGCGAGCAGCAAAGCGAGCACCCAGGCCTTGCGACGTCGTGCAGTAGGGATAAGCTAAACTCACCTGGGCCGACCGTCGAAATATGATGCATGCAGAAACTGCTTCAAATGCGGCCGCGACAGTTGGGCTCTCGATCATGGGGTGCTCAACGACGAGTGTTTCAAGCCATGGAATTGTTGTCACATTAGACATCTCCCGCTGCTTCGCATTGGTTGAGGAAGTGACTTTTACTTCGACGACAAGCCAAGCAGGACATACACTGTCCGCACATGCCGGGCCTCAGTTGAACCTCCAAAAGTCTCTGCACACCTTTGGTAGTGAAGCCCAGGTTGATCGCAAGACTTTCCCTGGTTAGTGAGTTCTCAGAAACTGGACATCAGATTTGGACCAGAACGTTGTATTTTGCGCATTAGATACGCGTTTAGATGTGAAGCACCCTTCACACAAACTTAGTGACGGTGGGGACACTTGAAGGTTGGGCGACGTAACCACAGAGGTACTGTTTCACCGTCATACCACATGTATGATGAATTCGCTTATGCGTTGGCGCATGCTGATGCTGGTAATGAACCAGTGCCGGAACCTGGTATGAATATTCTTGTTCAGACCATTCTGTCCGGTACGGAAGAGAGGAGAACTGTTGTCCGAGATTCTTTGCCAGAGAGATTGATGATGGGAGGTTATCTGGTTCATGCCTAAGCTGAACATGAATCAAACTAGACGCTTAGTGTGCCGCGTTTCTTTGACAAACAGACCCTCTCGAGCTTTCTCGTCGTATGGCAAGCTTGGAGCTGCTTAAGATCGCTTGGGAAAAAGACTTCAGCGCACGTGATCGCCCGATGAGGGGGCCGCTCTGTTTGTCTTCAAGGTAGTCCGTCTATTGCTTTCAAGGTGGGTTCGC